TGTCACCCAGGCTGGAGTGCAGTGGGGCGATCTCGGCTCACTGCAACCTCCACCCTCCAGGTTTTTAAGCTATTCTCGTGCCTCAGCCTCCCGAGTAGCCGGGATTACAGGTGCCCACCATCATGCCTGACTGATTTCTGTATTTTTAGTAGGGAGGGGGTTTCATCATGTTAGCCAGGCTGGTTTCGAACTCCTGACCTCAGGTGATCCACCCGCCTTGCCCTCTCAAAGTGCTAGGATTATAGGCATGAGCCACTGTGCCCAGCCATTTCCATATGTTCTTATTTTCATTTAATTTGTTCTTGTGTTTCAATGAAGTAGGCAAAGTGGTACATAAAACAGAGGGATGATCTATAGCACTAAAGGCTTTGCTTCATGTAACTTATATTACCTTTCATACTTATCAATATCAATGTATTCTCAGTTCATAATATTTAGAGAACACAGTATGAATCTAGAATCCATCTTTAAAACCCACTCACTTCTAAGCTCAGATTTTAGCTTTAGTGAGGAGGTAATGATTAAAATGTTGAGAGCTACACAAACAAGAAGCACTCTTTGTCACTGTAATTACAGGCTCGGGAAATGTTTTGCTTTTCTGTTCTCCCACTGCCCTTTGCATTGTGAAGCTAAAAGCAACTTTCAACAGCAAAAGTAAGAAGAGCCAGGGGAAGGCCTAGAGATAGAAGGGTGGCCTATGCCACATTCACCCTGCACAGTGGTGAACGTGAGACTTTGGAGTCAATTACAGGGCTATAAATACCATCGCTGTGTATGTAGGCAACTCCTACATGTATCTCTATTTCCGATCTCCCAGCTAGCGTATCTTACTGCCTATTTGACATTTGTCCAGTAGGCATTGCAACCTGATACATCCAAAACAGTCACTCATTTCTCCTGAAACCTGCTCCTTCCCTGCTTTTCCCCGTCACCCAATTGCCCAAGCCTGAAACTTAGGAGTCATTTCTGATTTTATCTTTCCTTAGCTCTCCAACTTCATTCCATCAGCAAGTTTATAGCTATAGCTGCCGTCTTAGTCTGAGTTACCGTCTTTTCACACCTGGACGTGCAGCCATAGCTTCCCAATAGGTTTCCCTGCTGTTACTCTTGCCCAGGCTGGAGTGCAGTGGCACAATCTCGGCTCACTCCAACCTCTGCCTCCCAGGTTCAAGCAATTCTCTGCCTCAGCCTCCCGAGTAGCTGAGATTACAGGTATGTGCCACCACACCCAGCTAATTTTTGTATTTTTAGTAGAGACGGGGTTTCATCATGTTGGCCAGGCTGGTCTT